AAGTGAACAATACTTTCCTTAGATGTTCTTTCTATTTCAGTTCTAGAAATGTAAATGGAGCTAAATTCTGGGAAGTGACATCTGGATTTCGTTTTTGAAAATCATAAAAGATATCTGCTGAAGTGGCAAAGAATGACTTCATGTCTGAGTAAAGAGCAGGGGCATCAGAAGAGATAGTGGCAGGAGCATTAGGGGGGTAGGAAATAACAATGGTAAGTGACTCGAGTTGGACAGTACAGATACTTTTTTTACTCTTGATTGCTGTTCCCCAACTTCACCAAAGTATTTGCATCTCTGACTTCTTAAAGGCAGCCATGACAAGAGAAACTATCTCCTCCTTGGCTTCCTTGTTCAATTGAGTTTTTTCGGCTATCATAATGTACTAAATCATTCAGTGTCTGAAATATGTGTTTTAAAACTTTAAATTAGAAATAATTCTTTTTATTAAAAACGTTAGCAGAAAAGTTAGACAAGAAAATATGATGTTGGTTGATACGTCAAAACATACCAGATATGTTACACTTGTGCATTTAGGTCTTTCATAGTTGATTTCTAGTATAGTTTCCAAAACCTTTTAGAGTGCAGAGATACTTTAAATAGATTCAGATGGAATTTTTAGAAGTACTTTAGAAGATTAATTCTTCTTTTGTCCTTTTATACCTACAAGAACTCTGACTGGTTGATATTCATCTTTGCTCAGGTCTCATCAAGAAAATTTAAAATTCCCTGAATATTGAATTAAACTAATAGATCAAAGCTTCAGAAGAATTTTTCTTTTTACTCCATCCAACATCCTGTTTCTTTCCCATCACAACAGGTAACTATTTCTGTGGAGCAAGTCTTCAGTGAGACTTGGTTTCAGTACAAAAGGTTATTTGCAGTTACTGTCTCCAGTCTTCTGTGACCATGGAAAGGCTCCATTTCTACAGGGAGCATGCTCAGCAGTGAAGACCCCCGGCCCTTTATCCACCTCCAAATGACAGTACTAGAAATCTCACTATCTAGGATGGTTACTCTTCTGCTAGGAGATGGGGGCAGCCTTTCTCTGTATCATTTAGTAAACATTCAACATTCGCTTCCTACTAAATCCTGTGTAAAGCCTGGACTAGAAGGTGAGCTGCTTTCTTCATAGACAGAGGCAACTTCACAGGCATTAGAACTAGTCTGCATTTAGCCACCTCTTTGTGATTAGAGAGTATTCCAGGGTAGTGCTATGTTTGTGGAAAAGAAGGCTGAGGAAATAAGCTGAAACTGCTTGATGCCGCTTTGTCCTAACACTGTGTCTTTTATGGTGCTTTCCTGTTTGTGAAAGAACTTTCCGAGGGATATACACCATAATGACAGAGCCTGGAAAAGTAGTCTGGGGGTAGAATTCTAACATAATCCCCAAGATTCCTTCTCTTAATCACATCAATGCAGGCATGCTACTCTGAATTATCCCCTTGCTTTGAGTGTGGGCATGGCCTAGAGCCTCATGTGATAGACATGCCTAGAGGCTCATCTTCCAGATGATTCTAGATCTTACTAAACTGATAGCTGAGATTAACCATCACACCTACCAACCAATGCCATGTGTAATTTAAAACAAAATTCAATGTGTTCCCGTTATGAGAGCTCTTAGCAGCCTTGAGGTTTTCTCCTGCTGGCCCTGGAGAAGCAAATTATATGAACTAGAAAGAGTTCCTGAATAAGCCACAGAATAAAGGCATTCCTAGAATCTGAGTGCAATGCCTAGTGGACATGTAGTAAGAAAACAGGAATCCGAGTCAGAGCGCTGTAAGGAAACAATTACAGCACAATGAGAATGAGCTTGCCAGTGGATTTTTCCTCAGGGATCCTGGCTGAGGACACAGTCTGGCTGACACCTTAATTTCAGCCTTATGAGACCCAAAGAGAACTACATTTAGACTTCTGACCTACAAAACAACTGCTGTTTTAAAGCCATGAAATTTGTGGCAGTTTGTTGTACAAGAATAGAAAGCTAACAAAAGCAAAAGTAGATAGCATAATCAATATTTCATTAATAAGGACGTTGGTTCAGAAAGATGAACTGATATAACTAACTTAATTTTGAAAAAAAAATGATAGCATAGAGACTGGTACTTTGTTTTATATTTGCTATTTTTTGAGTATTTCATGTATAAGAATTGTATTTGTGTTATTTCTACCATCCCCGTCTCCCTCAAACTGCTCTCGTGTCCCCCATCACAATTTCTTGTCCTCTTCTGTGTTATTGTTATACATACATACATACATACATATATTTTAATACATGATGCTCTAGTGTACCTGTGTTTAGGGCTTTCTACTTGGGATTAGATAACTAATCAAGGAGCTAGTCTCTGGAGAAAACTGATTCTCCCTTCCTCAGTATCCACTGATTACCTGTAGCTCCTCATCTTGAGGTGAGACCACATGAAATTTTCCCTATTCTAATTGGCATTTCAACTGGTTTTGATACTATAGTAATTTTGATACTATGAGAGCTAGTTTGTGGAGAAGACGCTTCCAGGTGAGTTCCAGTTCCATTGCTCCAAATCCTGTGTCTGATTTATAGCATGTCTTTAACATTAAGGTCTTATCTTCAAGTTTTGGGAGGCAATCATAGTCTATGGCAATAGCCTATATTATTTTTGGAGTCCCTAGGAGCACCCTTACCAACAACTCAAAGGAAGATTTCCTGTGCCTGGCAATGTAATTTTTGTTTTATAGCCTACTGGTATACACATACAATCATTCATATATATAATGTCTGTGTATGTATATGTATAATATGTATATTTTTTCAGCAGGCTTATAAAATAATACGTTTTCCTTTGGCTTTTCAAACCACCAAAGTATTATTTATGTCTCTTTCCTTTCTCTCCCCCTGTATAGCTCTCCTTCGTCTCTCCCAAATTAAAGGACCTCTGTTTTCCCAATTTCCCCCATGATAATACCTGACCCCTACTATCCCCCTCTCTCTTGAGTTCCTTCTTCTCCTCTCCTCCCCCCACCCCATGCTTCATTTCTATTTTCCTGGCTCCTGCAGTTACTTTAGGATAAATACTGACATCTAGAGATTTTGAGCTAGGATCTACAATTGAGGAAGAACATGCTTTGATTTTCTGGGTCTGGGTTACCTCACTCAGTATAATGGCTTCCTATTCCACCCATTTACTTGCAAATTTCATGATTTTATTTTCCTTAACAGCTGAATAGAGATCCGTTGTGATAATATACCATACATTTATTATCCATTCATCAGTTGAGGACAATCAAGTTATTTCCATTTCCTAGCTATTGTGAAAGGAGCAGTGATAAACATGGCTTAGCAAGTATCTCCATATTAGGAAACTGACTCCTTTGGCTGTATGCTGAATCACAAGGTAGAACTATGCTCAGTGTTTAAAGAATTCTCCACACAGAATGTGTGGTGGCTCCTACAGTGTGCAATCCCATCAGCAGTTAATAAGAGTTCCCCTTCTCCACATCTTCACCAGCATTTGTGTCAGTTGTTTTCTTAATCTTAGCTGTTCTAATGAGGGAAGACCTCTCTCCATGCTCATGGATTAATAGACTTAACATTGTAAAAAGATCATCCTGCCAAAAGCAGTTTATAGATTCAATACACTTCCAATTAAAATCCCCATGGCATTCTTCACAGAAACAAACAAACAAACAAAAAATCCTAAAATTCATATGGAAACACAAAAGACTGCAGATAGCCAAAGCAATTCAGAGCAAAAAGGATAATGTTGGAGGGATTACTATACCAGATTTCAAACTAGAGTATAGAGCTACAGTCATAAAAATAGCATGGTACTGACATAAAAACAGGCATGAAGGTAAAAAGAACAAAATAGAAGACCCAAACGTGAGTATACACAATTACAGCCACCTGATATTTGACAAAAATGACAAAAATATACAGTAGAGAAAAGACAGCATCTTCAACCAATAGTGCTGGGAAAAGTGGATCACCACAAGTAGAAGAATGAAATTAGAACTGGAGCTACACCTTGCACAAATATCAGCTCCAATGGATCAAAGACTTCAATGTGAAACCTGAAATGCAAAAACTGTTAGAAGAGAATGGAAGCAGTGCCCTCCAAGGTAGAATGCAGAAAGGGACTTTCTAATAGGACATCAGTTGCTCAGAAATTAAGTTCAGCAACTGACAAATAGGACCTCATTAACTATAAAGTTTCTGTATAACAATGGAAACAATCAATGAATGAAGAGGAAGCCCACAGAGTGGGAGAGAATCTTTGCCATCTATGCATCTGATAGAGGATTAATTTCCAGAATATACAAAAAACTCAAAAACAAACAAACAAATAAAAATCAAGACTACAAATGACCCAGTTAAAAAATGGACTATACATCTGAACAGAGTTCTCCAAAGAAGAAATAAAAAAATGGCTAAGACCTTAAAATTTTCAGCATCCTTAGTAATTAGGGAAACGCAAATCAAAGCTACTGAGATTGGTGCTGTGGTTTCTCACTTTCCAGCATTCTTCCACAGTCTACAACGCTTCACCTTAGTGAATGTTCTTGATTTTCTTCACTCCTATTGTCTTAGTTCTCTGTTGCTGTGATAAAATACCCTGACAAAAGCAATTTAGGAATGAAGGATTTTTTTAAATCTCACAGTTAATATTATAATTCATCATTGTGGGGAAAGTCACAGTGGCAGGAGCACGAACCAGCTGGCCACACTGCATCCATAGTCATGGAGCAAAGAGGGGTGAATGCTTGTGCTGAGCTAGTTTTCACTTTTTTTATATACAACTCAGGACCCAAATCAAGGGAATGGTGCCACCCACAATGGGCACGTCTTCAAATTCAATTAATTTAATCAGGTTAATCCCTAATGTGCATGCCCAGGTGCTCATCGTCCAGGTGAATCTAGCTCTCATAAATTTGAAAATTTAGATTAATAATCACATGCACAAACCAACAGAGTACATAATTGAAAATACATATTTTTTGTGTTCCTTTACATAACTCAACACAAAATAAAGCAATCATTTATTTATTGTACTATTAGTTTAGGGGTATAATAAACACATCAACACATCGATCAAAATAAAATTAAATGTGAAATTCATAACACTTGAAAATAATCACGAATCATGAACCAAATGTTAGTCTTCATCACTAGATAAGCAATAGTCTGAGCAATCAAGGTCAGGAAATCTGATAGGTAATTCTACCCACTTCTTGTATTGTTTCTTGGATGAATTGTTTTTTGAAACCACTACAAAATTCCTTATTTTAAGGCAAGGCAAATCTAAGCCTTTGTGCACCATCATTGTTCCCCAAGCCTGGAAAAGAAAAGAGAGGAAATTCAAATGCATGTTCACTTGAAAATCCCTTTTGGCCAAAGTAAACCCGAGCCCATTACCATGCACTCACTTGGCCACATTTGCAGATAATCTCTCCATTTGTTTTATAATCAGCAAATTTCTTTAGCAGTGCTTTGTTTTCTCTCACAATGTAGAGTCTCCTAAAATTAGCATTGGGGAAAAATCAGTGAGAAATGACAATATGCAACCAGTGGATTCAGGTTGGACCTGATGATCATCCACATGTCTGTGCTGACACCTCATTTCCTCTCTTCCTCCTGCTCCCCAGTATTATTGTGACAAATCAGGTAAATGCCCGAATCCTACACATATCTCACAAACGTCTTATTGTTATTGGGCTGCCTTTCTGTCTGTCATTACTTTAACTTTACTTCAGTCATTCAAAAATCTGAGAGTAGATATGAACACCCACAAATTGAGTACCTTGGCTCAAATGGCCTTGTGTCTTACATTTCTCCCTTCCTGTGTCAATGGAGATATTCTCAAAACAGACACTTGAAATAAGACTGTAACTGGGGAACCCCAAAGGGGAGGTTGAGAAAAAAACTCATTTCACCATGTCGGTGAATATTTATGATACCATGAGCATCACCTCTCGTAAAGAAACGTAAACATAGACCTTCCCGGGCTCACTTGAATTCTGATGTCATGTTGACATGATGCATCTTCTCAATGACATGGATATCGTTTCCTGAGCAGGCTAGCATACTACAGTTTTTGCAAAGAAAAGTTATTGACGCTGGATTGTCCTTGCAATGCTTTGCAATACTTCTCTTGATTTTCATTTTCTTTTCCAGTATACTTTGCACCTGTAATTTCAAAATCTGCATAGAAAAAGAAGAAAGTTTTAAGATTTTTATCACAGTTGTATTTAAGTGTACTGAAATTCAGAGATTTTAGACTGCATTCTAGAAAATAAAAATATGGCCAAATACAAAGAAATGATGAAACAAAAGGGGTTGGATCAAATGCCAGAGGGTGTTTAACTTGTTCCAGGTGTTTGATAAGAGTTTAAATAAATTTTGTTTTGTGTCAACTCTGACATTTTACTAGATGTTGCCTGAGCACTACATTGAAAAGGATTCTCAAACAGAAAGTGTTAGAGAGCCTCTCCTAGAAGCTGTGACTAAATAACAATGCTTTCTGGGGTTTTGGACACAATGGCAGCATACACATCCTCTGTAGGAGTGCCGTTTTTTTTCACTGTTCTTTCACTTTAATCCACCTGGAGATGTCTCAGGAGGGCTAGCCTCTGACTAAAGGAGACTAGGAAAGGTGATCCATTCTGGAGTTCCCAAACTGATCATGTTTGTTATGATTTGCATGTTGTTTGTCTCTCCTAATTCATGCAGGGATTGAACCTACAAGTCTTGTGTTAACAAGTATTAAGAGAGGAGAAACTCAATATATTTGTGGCACTTAGAATTTGTGGCACTTCTGTGTCATTCAGAAGTAAGTAGCTTAGATTAGGACTTTGGTATGGAACCCAAGGGATTGCATCATGTGGCTTCATAAAGCCAGAGAGAATGCACAGGGATATAGACACACATTCACCTCTGACATAATGCAATACAGCTTTGGGGTCTGCTCTCATACAGCCTGCCATGCTGTTGGACCTTATGACTTTACCTCTGACAAACTAAACCTCTTTGCTTTTATAAAGCAGCCTACCTCAGGTACTTCATTAGGGTAATGAATGACTAACCAGTATACTGTTTGTGATATAGACTGGGAAAGATTCATCTATAAGCTACAGATATTTTCCTATAGTTTACAAAAAGAACTGGTCTTGAAACATCAGCCTTTGCAAGTGTTTAGTTGATTCATTCTCTTTAGATATTAATGTGAAGGAATACTTTTTAGTAGTATTATTTGGTGAAAAAAATTGATACTCTGAAATGTTTGGTTTGCTTTATATTTGAGGGGGTTTTAAAGTATAAGTTTGTATGGAAACTTGGCCAGGAAACCTTGGAGTTGGTTAAAGCTTTGCACACCAATTTGAAAGCATCCCTTTCCTGAAATTCTATTTAGGGTAGAGCCAATTCCAATGTTAAGAAACTAACATTCACACCCATATGCAAGGGTGTGAATTCCTTCTAAATGGATTGTTTGCTATTATAGTTGTTACAGTCTTTAATTCAGTGGTATGAAGAATTTTCTGAAATATTGTAGAAATATATTCTCTTTTTTTACACACTATTCCTTCACACAATTCAAATAACTGTTAGTAAATCTAGATTCTGCTATATGACATATTATATATGTTTTAATCATTTAGAATGAGCTTCGGTCAATCTCTAAGTGGAATTCCCAAAAGTACCCATCTAGCTAAATGTATATACCATATTGCACTACTTTAAAAAAATATAGGTCTAAAAAAAAA